CCAACACTTTCTATTATTTCAGATCACCAGAATCTGCACAGTTTTGCATTTATCACACAAAAATCATTAATGTTTTCAGCATCAGCTGAAGTAAACATGTTAAAAATTCATGAAATTAAGTTTGCAGGAAATCCAGAACAGAAATTCTATAATCCAAGAAACTGTAAAAGCGAATAAAAATGGTTTGGCCAATATATCTGAAAGTAATATAGAACTCTGCTATGATCAAGTACTGGGAAACTTTATTCCTGTAAAATTTAATGACTTCAATATTTTCAAATCCAATTGAAGACTGAGAAAATGAAGGTAACTTAATTAATAGAGAAATAAGACCAGGTGTTGGAGAAACTCTGCAGATCTGGCAGTATCTGCAGAAAGAGAGAAACAGTTTATCATTTAGTTGAGACTATCTTGCTCTTTGTTTGACAAAGTTTTCTTATTTTAATTTTCCAATGGAAATATTTTCCTAACAATCTAACCAATCCCTTTATATCATTTAACCTACCCCATTAGATCACATGAGTATTTCAGCTCATTGAAAAAACCTAGCAATCAAAAGGATGAAATGATTGGATCAGAAGCAGTAACGATTTAGCTTATATTTACTTGAAAATAATTCTAGTGACCATGTGGCTGGTGTATGGAGGATTCCTATGGATCATCACAAGGTGAGGCTACTTAAACAGAGATAGTAAACAGAGGCTGATTTACCTATGAAAACATGAGTGATCAACAACATATGCAAAATACTGCTCCACTTAGATTCCATATCAAAAACATTTTTTTAAAATTTGTTTTTGTGGGATGTGGGCATCACTGGCTAGCCAGCATTTATTATCCGTACCTAGTTGACCTTAAGAAGGTGGTGGTGAGCTGCCTTCTTGAACCGCCTTAGTCTACGTGTTGTGGGTTGACCCACAATGCCATTAGAAAGGGAACTCTAGGATTTTGACCCAGCGACAGTGAAGGATCGGTGATATATTTCCAAGTCAGGATGGTGAGTGGCTTGGAGGGGAACCTGAAGGTGGTGGTGCTCCCACATATCTGCTGCGCTTGTCCTTCTAGTTGGAAATGGTCATGGGTTTGCAAGGGGCAGTCTGAAGATCATTGGTGAGGTTCTACAGCGTATCTTGTAGGTCGTACACACTACTACTACTGAGCATCGGTGGCGGAGGGAGTGAATGCTTGTGGATATATTGCCAGTCAAGCACGCGGCTTTGTCCTGGATAGTGTTAAGTTTTGAACAAAGAACAAAGAAAATTACAGCACAGGAGCAGGCCCTTCGGCCCTCCAAGCCTGCGCCGATCCATATCCTCTATCTAAACCTGTCGCCTATTTTCCAAGGATCTGTATCCCTCTGCTCCCTGCCCATTCATAGATACATCTTAAATGATGCTATCGTGCCCACCTCTACCGGCAACGCATTCCAGGCACCCACCACCCTCTACGTAAAGAACTTTCCACGCATATCTCCCTTAAACTGTTCCCCTCTCACCTTGAAATCGTGACCCCTAGTAATTGAGTCCCCCACTCTGGGAAAAAAAAACTTCTTGCTATTCAAGAACTATCCAACACTCTTGCTTTGAGTGTTGTTGGGGTTGCACTCATCCAGTCAAGTGGGGAGTATTCCTTCACACTGACTTGTGCCTTGTAAATGACGGACAAGCTTTGAGGAGTCAGGAGATAAGTTACACGCTGCAGTATTCATAGCTTCTGACCTGCTCTTGCAGCCACTATGTTTATGTGGTGAGTCCACTTTGAGATAGAGAACCAGTATCTTACAAGATGAATGTGAAGTATGTGTATTCGGATACATGGTTTCCAAACATCTTCACGAGGGTTTTCTCCATGTTGTGTCTTCTTGTGCTAAAGGCGTGCTCAACAGATAGCCCGGGGACCAGACTGTGCTCTGCCAAAGGGTCCTTTTACAATGCCAACTATGTTACAAACTCCAAAAATACTGGACAAACACAGCAGATCAGGCTGCATGCTGGACAAAGAAAGAGAAGCAAATGTATATGACTCTTCTTCATAACTCAGTTCTGAAGCGATTCCTCACCTCACTGAGCATGCAAGCAACCCAAAGACCATGAACGAGCGAACAGGCGAGCACACCTGCGAAACTATGGGTGTGAGAGCACCAGAGACCCTGAAGGAGTGAATGCTTGTGGGTGAATGAACCAGCAATCCCAGAGGAAGAGTAAGTGGTTAGACCAGCAATCTCAGATGGAGCAACGTATCATCAAAGGATTCATGGCTTGGAGAGAGCAAATGGACTTCAATCTGGAGAATTGAGAAGTTATGCATTTTGGGGAGGGAGGAGGGCAAACAAAGTAAGGAAAGATACAACAAACAGGAGGACATTGAGAGGGATGAAACAACTGACCGACCGTACAGCTCACATCCACAGATTCATGGAAGTAGCCAGACAGGTAGTTAAAGTGTAAAGACTTTCCTTCCCTGGGCAAGTATTGAATACAAGAGCAGATATGAAATGCTAGCACTGGTTAGGTCACAGCTGAAATTTTGCACACAGTACTGGTTACCATGTTACAGAAAAGGCGTAACTGCTCCAGAAACAGAACGGAGGATGGTTACAAGAATGTGAGCAGTGCATGAAAACTGAAGGAAGGATTGGTTAGACTAGAATTGTTTTCCTTAGACACAGAGGTCGAGTGGTGACTTCATCAAGGTGTACAAATTAAGTGAGATTTTGGATAGAGTAAAAAGATCAATTACCAGGGAATAAATCAAAAAATATCTTCATGTATCTAAATATGCATTAAAGCAGTTGTTCTGTACAGTAATATAATACACAAACAAGCATTGGAATTTTACACTATCCAAGCAAACCAAAGGCCTTTCCTACCTGTACAAAATTATATTTACATTTGAAACATCAAGAGGGTCCAATTACTGAACAAATCTTCATTTAACTTTGGCAGAAAGATGTTAGATGGTGGTCTTTCCCCACTTGGCAGCAACCGCTCCAAGGATTAGTGCAGGGTACATATGGCCAGAGTGATGGGTGTCTGGAATTTGTTGCCCCTTTTGGTGGCTGAGCTGGGTTTAGCTTAACAGTCCATTTGGTCAAGGTTACCAGTGGCTAATAAATCACAACTTGTGAGTGAAAATGCTATCTCAATATTTTAGGCCCTAGTTGTTGATAGTATGAACTACTGCTCCTCCAGTAGCTGCAGCTAAAGACCTGTGTAAGTAGGTAGACTTTGTTACCAGATTTTCCTTCTGGATGTCTTTGAAGTTCACTGATACACTGAAATGTGCTCACCCCCTCAAGAGACAAAAATTGAAGTATGCCTCCATCCTACATGAGGAGGCTGAACAAGCTTATTGTTGTTGAAGAGAAATTGTTACAATCAGGCAACAATTCATTTGACAACTAGGATGCATCCTAGTTTCACTCTAGATTGCATGAGTCATGTCACAAGTGCAGGATTAAAAAAACAGAAAAGGACAGAGCAGACTGAAAATCATTTTATACACAAGATTACCTAAAATGAGACTAGAACTTCCAGATATTGTAAACATACTCAAGGTCTTGCTTGCAGCCTCGTAACACATCAGTGTTATAGCTCCATCTATTGGGCAGCCAATGCAGTTAGCTTTCCCTACTAGCTTACCTACAGGTCTATTTATCTGAAAATTCATCACATTTATACAGTAAATCACAGGACTGATTTGAAAGAAACCAATCCATCAGAAGGAAAATGATCTGAATCTTGTTGAGCAGGAAACAATCCCAAGGTTTGCAGATAACACTAAGCTTGGAACAGTTGTCACGGACCTGGGTTCAATTCCAGTCTCAAATGACTTTATGGAGTTTGCTTATTCTCCTGTGCAGGTTTCCTCCGGGTGCTCTGAAAATGTGCATGGTAGGTGGATTGACTGTGCTAAATTGCCCGAAGACGTTCAGGTTAGACATGGGAAATCAGGGGTAGCGGAAATGTATCTGGGTGGCATGCTCTTCGGAGGGGCGGTGTGGACTTGTTGGGCCAAATGGCCCGTTTCCACACTATAGAGATTCTATGGACAATGGATGAGGAGGGTGGAAAGCAGCATAAGAGACATGAGTTAAGATATGATAGATTGGTTTCTCCAAACAGAAAAGAAATTTGGAGTAGGGGCATTTTAAAATAAGAACATGTTTCTTAAATTTGAAGTTCAACGTTGAGACCAAACCTGCCACGTGTCTAAACAGTAAACGTGTCGTTCCTTGAAAGATTGCAGCAGACTTAAAACAAATGTTGGCATAAATAAGATGACCCAGAAGCTGCATGACCAGGTGTATTCCTCCAGCATCTGCAGTTCTTGCTTTAAGTGAATGTTGGCATAAATATGTCTTATTGAAATGACATAGTGGGAGATCATAGGATTCTGCAAACTCCAAATGTACACTTCAGAAAATGATAAGAAAATCCAGCCCATGAACCTTTTCTCTCCACAGCTACTTGCCACGTTGAGCCTTCTTCCTCCCAATGTTATGTTCTGCTATAAATAATTCTGACAGAAATCAGTAGACATGCAACATTAACTCAAGTCTCTAACCAATTTAAATACAATTGTATAGCTCAATTCCATTAAAGGGTAAGAAAGTCATCACTAAATAGGCTCAAAGCACAATGTAAACGTGTCAATATAACTTCCGCGTGAGTTGGACCAATCTATTAGAAATAAATCCATCTTCATTTATGCAAAATAGACAAATAATTTACTCTCATTTTGCAGATCTGACAACCTGCAAACACAGTGATGTAAGTCATTTGAGTTAACAAACTGCCAGTCATTAATCTCAGAACATTGCACAAAGCAGGGACTTGTGGATGCTTAAGTGTCCACCAATCAGAAAAGGAATTAAAGTACCAGGCATCAACCATACAGAAATGAAAATCAAGATCAATGAGTCCAAAATCGGTAAATAATGCTCTAACTAAAAAGCCCAAGTGACATTTCCCAACAGACTACAGACCAATAAACCAAGATACAAATGAGTTTTTGTATTTTATTTCACAACTACTATACACAAAGGCACAGTACAACAGACCAATGTTCAAGATCTTCTCATGACCAGCATCTGAAGTGCCTCCAAAACGGAAGATCTTCATGAAAGATGTAGAAATAGCGTCAGAGTCCATTTGCCATGTAAAGATTCAACAAAGCCCGAGTAGTACTGCATCTTCAGCAGTTGTTCACCTGGACCTCTGCCTCATCTTTCGCCTTTTACGCTTCAGCCTGCAGAGGTACAACATTAGTTAGGAAAGATAAAACATGCCAATAAAGTCAAAATTTGATTTGGGAGGATGGGCAGATGAAGCTGCTAATGAGCAGCGTAAGGAGCAATAGTCAGCAACATCCTCTGGAAATAAAGATCTTCTTAGGAAAGCACCAAAAACAGGTGTCCCGAGTCAACAGCTGCGATGCCAATACTCAGATAGCCACAAAAGGGTTTATTGGCAAGGCAAAGCAGATGGAGAATTACCATCACTTCACAGGAGCATTATAAAATGAAACATGGTCACCAAGCCACACAATATACTATATCAATGTTGGTCAGGCGATCCAACATGTGGGTCTTAAGTTCGTCTAAAAGGAAGGCTTCAAATGACAGCAATTAAACTCAGGGACGTTTAAGAAACCAAAATTAGAAAAGCACAGTATAGTCGACAGAAGATAGTTTTTTTGGGGAAGGGTGGGGAAAACGGGAAAAAGTGAAAACAAGGGAAAGAAATTAAAAAAAAAAGATGGATTTGCTGACACTAGCACATACACACTGGTTTAAAAATCACATGTGCTAATGGCTTCAGGGGACCATCTCCACTACAGCGCCACCTCGCCCAACTGTCTTCACTCACTTTCAGTGAACAGTTTCAAAGTGTATGCTTCTACAATGTCACATGTACATTCTACATGATGTAGTATGTGAAAACACTCTAGTTTCTGAATTAGCACAAATGGATAATTACCTGCTGTTGCAGGTATCAACAAATAATGCCTTTTAAACAGAAGGTAATATTTGACTGGAGGCTACAGATGTGACTCCAGGATGGCATGGTGCCTCACTGGAACCAGGGTCAGGGATGTCGCCAAGGATGGTTACAAAACAGAGGTAGCGGTACATAAAAGATTTCAGAGAGCTAGGCTGTAGATTAAAAGCAGGACCTTGAATGCTGTAATCTCTAGATTATTCCTGGGCGATGTGTTAGCAAGTAAAGGAAAGGAGAATGGGGCAGGGAAATGCATGGCTCAACAGTAGTGTAGGATGGACGGTTTTAGATTCCTGGATCACAGCCCATTTTTGGGACAGTGGAACCTCTACAAGTGCACCTGAACCACAACATTACCAACTTTGACAGGAGCAGAGAACATGATGTTAAGATCACTAGTGGCAGAGCATACCTTAGAAAAGGAACCTAGGCAGAGGGAGTTCAAACATTTTGAGCCACAAGGGAGGCAAGGCAAAGCAAAGCTGGATGGCCTCTACTTTAATCCTTGGAGTATTATAAATTAGACAAACGGGTTAAGACTGTAATTGACACCATGAAATTGTTGTTGCAATCAGAGACATGACTGGGGGAGGAACAAGACCGGCAGGTCAACACTGCAGGATTTAGGATCTTCACACGAGAAGGTGTCAAAGGGGAAATGGTATCACATCATTGATTTAAAGGAGTCAGTCATTGCAGCAAGGAGGGACTTTATCTTGGGAGGATCATCAAATGAGGCATAGTGGGTAGAGCTTAGGAATAAAAGAGTCATGCTATTAGGAGTGCATCATAGGTCCCCAAATAGTTAGTAAAGGGCAAATAAATAGACAAATTCACCTAGATAAAAACAACACAGGAAATTAGGAAATTTCAACTTTCAACACTAATTGGGATAACCACAGTACAAAAGATTTAAAAGAAACAGACATCTTGAAATGTATTCAGGAGAGCTGTCGATGCCAACATGTAGATAGCTTACAAGGGATGGTGCAATGCTAGACACAATTCTGGGGAATAAAGCCAGATAGGTGTTTGAAGTGGCAGTGGGGGAGCATTTTCAGGACCTCAGCACCATACGCTTTGTCATAGAAAATGAAAGATGGCCTACAACTAAGAAAGGGCTCTGGACTACAGGAAGCACATTTTATTTAAACAAGACAGGATCTAGCCAGAATCAATCAAAAGCAACTCAATGACCGTACAGGCCCAACAGGTCCCCTTTAGGGTGAAGTGCAGTAACAAGCCCAGAGAAATGCCGATGTCTAGAAATATTCAGGACTGGATAGAGGCAGTAGAGGGAGCAAAATAACAGTACCTAGTAAATATTGGGAAGCCCTGGGGGAGAATTTAAATCGATTAGAAGGGCAAAGAGGGGGCATGAGAGAAAAAAAAAAATCACCAGCAGACAATAACAGGGATAATCCCAAGACATTCTACAAGTATAAGAAGGGCAACAGAATAACCAGGAAAACAACAGGGCCCATTAGGGACCATGGGGAATATCTGCAGTTGGAGCAAGAACTTAAATGCTTCCATTTGGTTGGAGGATGTGTGTACAGAATTTGTGAAGATGGACTGAAGTTCTTGAGCAGATTGATATACGGACTGAGGAAGTACTGGAGGTTTCGGCAAGTCTAAAAAGGGGACAAACTCTCCAGGTCTGGACAAAGCTGAGAAAGACCAATCAGGAAAACAGCAAACTTGATTCCACTTTACAAAAGGGATGATAGAGATAAACCAGGGAATTACAGATTAATGAGTATCACTTAACAACTACTGGAGAAAATTCTCCATTTAAAGAAAGGTTTGGTCAGGGATAGACAGCATGGTTTTTTTTGGTTGTTGTCATGTTAAACAAAATCGACCAAGTGTGTAAAGACATAGTGCAGTTGATGTAGGTTACACAGCTTTCAACATGGCCTTCGACAATGTCCCACATAGGGGAATAGTTGAGACTTTAAAGGTTGTAAGTGTAACAAAGTACTCACGGAAGCACTTGAAATGCAATAACATTCAATGCTATCGGCCCAGCTCTGGAAGGTGGGCATAGCTTTGGTAGTACATACCTCATGGACCAAACGGCCACTTCTGCACTGTATGATTCTACACCAAATTACACAAAAGGGCCACACCTGGATGAATAGTCTGTAGTCACAAGAGGTGGTATGGTGGCTCAGTGGTTAGCAGTACTGCCTCACAGTACTAGGGACCCCAGTTCAATTCTGGCCCCAGGTGACTGTGGAGTTTACACATTCACCCTACGTCTGCATGGGTTCCTCCCAGAGTAAGATTGGCCTTGCTGAGTTCTAGTACTGTGTGTACGTGCAGGGTAGGTAGATCACCCATGGTAAATGCTGGGACAGGGTGGGATTCTCTTCAGTGGGGCGGTGTGGACTCGGTTGGTTGAATGGCCTGTTTCTGCACTGTAGGGGTTCTACGAGAAAAAGTGCATTGAAACAGCTTAGTGTTCATAATTAGTCAGCAATTGCTGCTGGTTAGCCATGACAAACAAAACATACGAAGAGTGCATGTGTCTGGAAAACCTGATTTGGGCTTAAATCACATACCTGCGCATACGCTTCTTCCGCCACTGGAGGGAAAAAAAGACAAACGTTACACATCTCATGTTGAACTGATGATTCACTAAAAATAAAATTGTTGACAAAACTCCGCAGCAGCACATGTTCCAAACTTGTAACATCAGGACAAATGATGAAGATTCGTGAGGAGAACCATAGTAGAGTGAAGGGTATCTTTGGAACTTCAGACACAGGACACCAGAAGTTGGTCAGTTTCACTTACTTTCTGCAATGGGCAAAACTGACAAAAGCGGTTTTGCAAAATGACAACATTATCTAGGAATTGTACTCGCAGGTAATGCGAAGGGGAAGGGGAAGAGGTAACGCTACTTTGCGCAGAGTGACACGACACCTACGTTGTGCGCCCGAAGAGACTACCAAATGCAACCCCTCGGCTCCACATGGCCGCTGCATTTAGAGCAAATGGCTTCGTTCGCTTAAGAACAGAAACTGGGTTTTCAAATGGCGCTACGCAGAATACAAATCTGGACAGCAAAGACCAGATCTGGTCACATCCAGTGGCCTACCGATGCATCATTAGCTAAAGTAGCCAGTTGTTCCATTATTGGGTAGGGAGGTGGTGGCCGCTCCTGTTCCTCAAATGGAACCTGGTGCAGGCCGCCGCGAGGCAAGGACAGGGGGTCCCAGGCCCACGTTCTATCCGCTTCCTCCCCGGAGCCGGTTGCAGCCCGAAAACCAGGCCCGAAGAACCGCCGCTCTCCGCGAGAAGTTGGGGGGAAGAAGTGAAAAGAAAACAAACAATCAACGGACACGTACCTTCGCTCTCATGTCGTCAAGGATCTACGAAAAGAAAGAGATTGTAAAAGTCAGTGTGAGCGGATGGCGAGTATAAACGGTTGATATTAGTCGGATTGCGCCAGCACCCCCCAACGTACTTCAAACCGCTCACCTCGCAACCCCAGAACCGAAAGAAGGAGGGGCCCGCGACTCGCCCGGATATAGAGACACGACGCATGCGCAGAAAGCAGTCACTGCTCACTCACACCCCGCCGCGCAGGCGCACGTGAGGTCCGGGAAACCCTACCCCGCCTGCAGCTGCCGCCAGGGGGCAGCGGCATAAACCCGGAACTCGGTGCAATGCCGACAGCCCCGAGGCGTTTAAGATTTTAATTCGGCACGCTTCAACTTAAGTAAAAAAAACCTTCTGTTGCAGGATGCACGAGACAATAATGATTTCTGGAATTTTCAGGGGTCCACCACTGTGTCTTCCCCAATGAGATTTAAAAAGAAACCGAGAAAGTGGAATATGGTTCAATCGCAGTAAAATTATGTACAGAGATAAAAAATGGAGAGACAAGGAACATAAACATTCTTCTAAGTTAGCTGTTAATGGCTCTGGTCTAAGTTGGTCTGCATAGAAACAGAGGCTTAGTTCACGGCAATATTCTTGTAAATCTTTTCTACATCCTCTCAAGTTTAACAACATCCTTCCTACAGCAGGGAGACCAGAATTGAATGCAGTATTCCAAAAGTGACCTCACCAATGACTTGTACAACCACAATATGACATCCCAACTCCTATTCTCAGTATTCTGACCAATGAAGGCAAGTGTACCAAATGTCTTTTTCACCAGAAGTCAGCATTTGGCACACTTCACTTTCAAGGAACTATGCACCTGCATCCTTGGTCCCTTTGTTTAGCATCACACTGCAGGGCCCTACCATTAACTGTATAAATCATGCCTGTTTGCCTTATCAAAATGCAACACTTCACATTTTTCTAAATGAAACTCCACCTGCCACTTCTCAGCCCATTGGCCAATCTGATCAAAGTTCAATTGTCCTCTGAGATCATCTTCTTCCTTGTCTAGCTCACCACCTATTTTGGTCATCTGTCAATTTACTAACCAGACCTCCTAAATTCATATGCAAATCATTTATATAAATGATGAAAAGCAGTAGACCCAGCACCGATCTTTATGGCACACTGCTAGTCACAGGCGCCCAGTCTGAAAAGCAATCCTCTACCACCACCAGTTCTGAAAGGTCACTGGACCCAAAACGTTAATTCTGATTTCTTTCCAGAGATGCTGTCAGAGTTGCTGAATTTTTCAAGCAATTTGTTTTTGACTCTGATTTTCAGTTTTCAGTTATTTTTGGCATTTTATTTGGTATTTAACTCACTAACAAGGTATGACGGTAGCTTCAAAGTACGAAGTTTTGCTCCTCTCCAGCAGGATTTCCATTCCAATCTTTTGTGTTCACCCAGTTCTGAAGAAGAGTCACTAGACGCGAAACGTTGACTGACTTCTCTCCACAGTTGCTGCTAGACCTGCTAACTTTTTCCAGCAATTTCTGTTTTTTCTTCTCTACCACCACCCTCTATCTCATATCTTCAAGCCAGTTTTTTGTATCCCATGTGATCTAACCTCATGAATGAGCCTACATGCAGAACCTTGTTGAATGCTTTGCTGAAGTCCATAATACTGCTGTGCCTTCATCAATTTTCTTAATAACTTGATTGAGTTTTTTGAAGCAGTGGGTGAGAAATGATTTCCCATGCACAATGCCATGTTGACTATCCTTAATCAGTTCTTGCCTTTCCAGATGCATGCAAATCCTGTCCCTCAGAATCCCTTCCAACAACTTAACCACCACTGACCTCAGGCTCACTCTATAGTTCCCTCGCTTTTCCTTGCAGCCTCTCAAATAATGGTATCACATCAGGAATATCCAGTCTCTGGCACCTCATCTGTGGCTGTCAATGATACAAATATCTCAGCTAGAAGCCCAGCAATCTCTTCCCTTGCTTCCCACAAAGATCAGGTCCCAAAGATTTATCCACCTTTACATATTTTTGAGAAACCAGCACCTCCTCTCTGTGATATGAACTCTTTACAAGACATCACTGTTTATTTCCCTAAGTTCCCTAGCTTCCGTGTCCTTCTCCACAGTAGATACCAGTGCAAAATATTTATTTAGTATCTCACACATCTCCTGTGGATCCACATATAGACAGCCACGTTGATCTTTAAGGGGCCCTATTCTCTCTGTAGTTCCTACCCTTAAATGTACTTATAGAATCTCCTTGGCTTCTCCTTAACATTATTTGCCAAAGCTAGCTAATGTGTCCTTTTTGCCCTCCTCATTCCCTCTTAAGTAGACCCCTACTGCCCTTATACTCCTCTAAGATTTCGTTTGATCCTAGCTAGCTATACCTGTTATAAGCCTCCTTTTTCTTGACGAGAGCCTCAATATCTCTAGTCATCCAACGTTCCCTAAACCTGCCAGCTTTGCCCTTCACACTAACAGGAATACACTGTCTCTGAACTCTCGTTATCTCATTTTTAAAGGCCTCCCACTTCCCAACCGTCCTTCTAAAAACTTTTCTCATAAGTTAATCCAATCATTCCACTTGTCGATTAAACCTTCTTTGAACCGCTTCCAATATATTAACATCCTTATGTATGTAGTGACAGATACTGTACACAGTACTCCAGATGTGGACTCACTAATGCTCTGTATAACTGAATCATAACCATTCTACTCCCCTATTCAATTCCCTTGCAATAAAACATAACGTTCTATTAGCTTACCTGAATGCTTGCTGTACCTGTGTACTAATCTTTTGAAATTCATGCATGAGGAATGCAGATGAACATACTGAAGAAGACAAAGGGGAGGATAACAAGGGAAGCACCAGAATGGAAGGTTGCATTATCTGAATGGTCATGATGGAGACAGAACCCAAAAGAATGGAGTCCTTACAGGAAATGGGGTGCCAGTGAGACTCGAGGTGGCTGTGAAAGTCAGTGAACTTACAATGAATATTTGTTGACAGCCTAACCCGATAAATTCTAGAATGGTTACACCAAAGAACACTTGAAATGAGAGAAAACACTGAAGAAATTCAGCAGGTCTGGCAGCATCTGTGAAGAAAGGAACAGTTAGTGTTTCTAGTCTGATATGACTTCTTCATAATTGTTTCCAGCATCTGCAATATTTTGCTCGTAAATGAGGGCATTTGGCTCATTGTTTCCAATGGCAAGTCCCTACAAGAACAAGTTATGTCAAGTACTAGTCATTCATCTTTCATCAGCAACCTTTTCTCTTTAGGCAGTCTTGGTTCTTTCAACTTAAATCAGTCTTCCCTACTTCTCAACCTTCTACCAACGTAAACAGCTCCTTCCTATCATGTCCATGAGCCTCATAATTTGAATATCTCTATCAAATTCTGTCATAATCTTCTTTCCCAATAGGAGAATAGTCCCAGCTTCTCTAATCTATCAATTTCACAGACATTCCTCATCCAGGGAATCATACTGAGCAATTCTTGCTGTCCCTTCTCTAATGCCTCCATGTCCTTCTCAATGTGAAGTGTCCAGTACAGTGTTTTATAAAGGTTTATCATTACACAATTGCTTTTGTCCCCAATGTCCCTAGTTGTAAGGCTCAGGATCCTATTTGCTTTATTGCTCACTATTTTAACTTACACTGGTACTTTCAATGATTTGTTGGACTATCCCTGGGTCCCTTTGATCCTGCACTCTCTTTAAAGTGATATTATATTGTCTTTCTTCGTATTTTCAAAATGAATCAGTTTACATCTCTGCATTAAATTTCCCCATTTCATTAGCCTGCAGTTCCTAACTTTTTCCTTCAACATATGTTCTTCCATCCACTCCAGTTGGTCTTTCCAGAATCCAGGCAACTTTGGCAGATTACAGCTAGTGCATTCACTTTCTCAGCAATTTTTTAAAAAAATTGATATGAGCATCCTGTGAGGACCCACAGGATTTGCTGACTTTCAATTCTAATTAATTTTGCCAGAACTTTTTCTTTACAAATATGAACTTTGGAGTTCCTTGCTTTCACCAGACCCTTGATTCCCAAAGATTCCTGTATGTGGTCTTTCTATTTCAATGAAGGCAGATGAAAAGTGCAGAATTTTAACTGCCAAGGGGAGAATCATCCAGGGCAATCTTTGTATAGGTTGGGAAAAATCAAATTAGCAAAGATGGTCTAGAGATATGTTTATAGCTAGTATCGAAAAAGGTTTCTCAGAACAATTCATTGCAGAACCAAGCAGAGAACAGACTATTTATAATCATCCAACCTGCTTCAGAATCTTCACTTAGGATGGAAGATATGCCCAAGAAAATCGCAGGGAGGTAAGTAGGTAACCTAACAGACGAAGTGAAGTAATCCTTGCAGGAACAGCACAGAAATCCTTGCAGAAGGCATACTCCTTTTAACAGTGCTACCTGTTGTAAATTGGTAAGTTAACACAGTTCAAAGGTCCAAAAGCAGCTTTAAGAAACTTTTTCTCCTTGGCAACTATAAGTAGGTCACAGGATAGGATGGCAGGCAGGTGAATCTTGGGTGACCAGGGGGTGTGGGGGGAGCTGCAGTATTTGGATTTGGGCTACAGTACTAGCAAAAAGATGAGGACTAAGAATTGACAGTTGACCTGGGACTGATTGTCTGCACTCTAAGTGACTACAAAGGTAGGTAGATGTATTGGCTGTGATCTTCCAAAGTTCCCTCAATTCTAGAAAAGGTTGAAAACTGGAAGTGTACCTCTATTCCAGAAAGGAGAGTGACAAACAGCCAGGTAATCTAATGTGCATTAGATAAACACTAAATTCCATTAAGTAACTAGCACCAAGACATTTAGCAAGTCATAACACAAATCAAAAGTCAACAAAAAAAAATTCCTGTTCCTATTTACTACTTTTCTGTGCTCCGAACAGATCAATGCCAGTTTTTATGCTGTACACAAGTCTCCTCCCACTTTTCTCCCTCTTACCTTCATTAACTTAAACTCGAGGACCTCACATGTTCGTAAAAACTGAAAGAACCACAAATGTGGGAAATCAGAAACATCAACAGAAATTGCTGGAAAAGCTCAGCAGGTCTGGCAGCATCTGTGGACAGAAATCAGAGTTAACGTTTTGGGTCCAGTGGGGGACCCTTCCTCAGAACTGACGGTAGCTAGGAATAAGTTGATTTTTATGCAGAAGAAAAGGTGGAGGGAGGTTGGTAAGGAGTAAACGATAGGTGGAGATAGAGACAAAGAGAGAGAACAGTTGGACAGAAAAGGAATGGATAATGATTGGCCTGGGAGAATCAATAGCTATTAATGGGGACAATTAATGGCTAACAATGGGTTATATGTAATAGCAGACCATGTGACAACAAGGCCTGGTATTTGGGAATTGGGGTAAGGATGTAGAAGGTGCCAAGCTCTAAAACTGTTAAACTCTGTACAGGCTGAACATTTAACTAGCAGAAAATGAGGTGCTGTTCTTCTAGCTTGCGCTGAAGTACTGCAGCAAGCCTGAGACAGAGATGTTGGAGTGGACCAGGACATCCCGGAGGGAATGGTCCTTGTCGAAAGCTGACAGGGAAGGGGAATGTGTTTGATGGCAACATCCTGCCAGAGGAAATAGTGGCTAATGATCCTTTGGGTGTGGATGCTGGTAGGATGGTAGGTGAGGACAAGTGGGACTTGATCGCTCTTATGGGAAGGAAGTGCGGGCTGAAGTGCAGAAGATGGGTCAGACCCTGCTAAGAGCCCTGTCAAAATGTTCATGAGTACTATTTCAAGAAGGTATGAAGAGTTCGCTGTTCAGTTCCTAGGTTTTGCTTTGCCAAGTGAAGTCCATTTACAGGAATGGTTTTGACACAGAACCCAAGCAGTGTAAAACAAAAGACATTTGTTTAAAGCATTTATACTTCCAATGTTTGAAAAATCCAATCAAATATAAATAATTAAAAGGGCCATGAAAAATGGCAATTTAAGAAAACGCATGCGGCCTGAACAGTACTTGGTAGAAAATTAAAAATGTTGAGTGTATTCACATTCCACTGTTTGTCATATTTTATTGTTTTATTCAGTAGCACACAGTTATTGTCAAAAGTACCAATATAATCTCAAGTAACAAATGCATTTTGAACATTATAAAACACCTTATTGAATTTGAAGATTTATTGTACATTAGTGCTCCAGATTTCTAGAGATAGTTTTGGTGGTAGTTAGTTTCTCTTAGACAATCCTCTAAAAACAACCTAGTAAATTCAGTTCAAAGATGTGTTGGACACCATCTATTTTGAAGCATGATCAAAAACAGCTTTTCAAAGTGCATCACTAGCAGTTGTCAAATTCGCCTGAATTATAATTAATTCAAGTTATTTATTATATAAAGTCACTTGCATGAATTTGGAAGGCAAAAAACTGAAAACACAATTTGTCACTTGTAACTATTTCTATTTACAAATCTCTGTACCCGTGTTAGGAAAAAAAAAATCTACAAAGTGCACCATGTGGGCAAATACTGCAGTTGGAATATTCTTTAAAATTCATGGCAACAATTATGAAATTTCAAAACTTGATTGAATTTTGATGGCCCTGCAGCAACATATTGCAATGGGAGTGTCACATAAACACAAACTTTTCCAATCTTTTACTTACAGGTATATATTCTTAATATGAACAATGAAACGATAAGTATTTTATAGCTCTCAAAGAGTCAGGCAGACAATCTGTATATAAAATGCCCCATTTAACACATGCCTTTTTTCTATAGCTAACAAAGGTAATATAAATAGCATCTACAGTGTATGTGTGCAGTGTATGAGTACTGAACTAAATATTTGAGAGCAGCACTTTGTGCTTTTTTTGTAAGGTAAACCCTGCAATTAGTTGCACTATTAAATAATGCTTTATTTTAAGCATGTTATAATGGAAATACAGTTCAAGTTTTGCAGGTCTCATTCATGTCCCTCAAGTAGGACCATTTCAAATGCTAAGTACACTGTTGTTTTGTGAAACAGTGGCTTTCATCTACTCAAAATTAATGTAAAAATTAAGATTTTTTTCCCCACTGAAACAGAATTATTTTCTGTTCTGATGCAATATTGTAATAAAACCTATATGTAGAGTGTTTTCTGCCTCAGTGCTGTCTATGTTGAAATGAAAAATCCACATGTTCACTCCTTCCATAGCATTCATCCAGTGATGCCATTGAGCAGTTTATTCCAACATTGTCCTGAATACTGCCTGTCTTTTCAGCAGCTCACACCGAGGCCTGTCCAATGTTCTGGGACCTTCAAGAAATACTTGTCCATTGCTTCACAGAATCTTGTTCTATAAAGCTCTGGGGAAACTACAGTTGGCATTTTTCCTGTAGGGGGGGGAAAAAAAAAAGTATTGTCATGTTTTTATAACAGATGTGGTACAAGATTTTATTTTTGACATATGAAAACCAGTGGCTCAAGCAAGGTGCTTTACTGGCTTTAATGTCTATAGGTCAAAAATTAAGAGTTTAAAAAAAATCCCCACTTAATTTTAAGCTTATTTGCACTGAACATTGTGTGGTACGCAGGTAATTTATTGGATATGGCTGTTTACTGTCATGCATCACATTGTAAATACCAAAAGTCCCTATACGCTTTCTACAAGTTTCATACAATGGCTTTGCTACCCTCACTGTAAAGATGATGAAAGCAAGCAGAATATGGACATTTCCAGATAAATACATGATCATGTTAAATGAAATGACAGCACAATTAACAAAAAGAAACATTGTGGGTGTGAAAAAGACAAAGTCCAATGAAGCAGTCAGAAACTAGGTCATGGACACCTTACGTATAATATGCAACACAGAAACAAGCTATTTGGCATGACAGATTATGCAGGTTCATGTTCCACTTGAATACAAGTGACTTTCATCAGAAGGTGTGCAAAACTAATTTGTTCGAAAGACAGTGCCAACACGAAGCACCTTGCTTATGAGGAAAAGCTGAGGGACTTGAGGCTGTTTTCGTTAGAGAGAAGAAGGTTAAGAGGTGACTTAATAGAGACATACAAGATGATCAGAGGATTAGATAGGATGGACAGTCGGAGCCTTTTTCTCGGATGGGGATGGCTAGCACGAGGGGACATAGCTTTAAATTGAGGGGTGATAGATTATAGGACAGATGTCAGAGGTAGGTTCTTTACTCAGAGAGTAGCAAGGGCGTGGAATGCCCTGCCTGCAAAAGTAGTAGACTCGCCAACTTTAAGGGCATTTAAATGGTCATTGGATAAACATATGGATGGTAATGGAATAGTTTAGGTTAGATGGGCTTCAGATTGGTTTCACAGGTCGGCGCAACATCGAGGGCCGAAGGGCCTGTACTGCGCTATAATGTTCTATGTTCTATGCTCTACATTTTGTCTCTTTCATTCTGTCACATTATCCAAGGGTCAGCACATCAATATGACATTATTCAACCTGACCTACTTCACTGCACATTGAAAATGATAAGATAGGTCAGCTGAAAGAAAGTTGACCTTGTGGAAGCAGCATAAATCCCAACAGCTTAAAATAATTAACAGACGAGGGGTTTTTTGGGACATGTGTGACAAAAAGTTTATTCAGTTTTCCAGACAATATTTGAAGATATGTGGAGTTAGGGTTCACCCATGACATTGATTTAAAATACAAATGTTGAAATAATCGTTGCTCTTGTAATAGTGACACGGAACTACAGAAAACTTTCTTCTGAACAGCAAGGTCAGACATTAAATGGTTCCAAGTGAGCCCTGGAAGTCAAAGTTAGACTAAATACTATTCTGTTGAAAGTTCAGGTAATATATAAAAAAAATTCATGATTTCTGGACACAAAGTATTTCTTTTTATAAAACCAGAAAACGCAGAAAAAAAAAACTAATTCCTTGTTTTGCTTCTTACCTGCACGTTTATTCAAGGTCTGTAGAAGATATTTTCTCATTATTTTCTTTAATAACTTGTACACAATGGCTATAATCAACTACTTACAGACTCACCTTGTCCACCTAAGATTCCTGTAGACTTTACCACCATTTCAAGTTTCTTATCCCAAGTAAACGTCCTGATATAATCTAAATAAACCAAAAGAAAATATTCAGGATGATGATTTAAAGGGAAATAAACCACAAACATTTTTTCTTTGCAATTTTACGGTTATCTCAAAATAGATTTTTAAAAAAACACAATAAGCAGTTGCATTTGAAGTGCAACAGGTTTATTATGTACCAATGTACAATGGAGAACAGCAAAGATAGCCCATAAATAAAAGTTTTAAACTGGGAAAAGATGAATTTTTTTTTTTATCAGAAGGATCTAAGGGACAGTAGCAAATTAGATCCAAAATTGGTTAAGTCACAGGAAGTAAAATCTAATAGTTGAAAAATATTTTTGTGTTTGAAGGATTCTTTCCAGTAAATTTCTACATGACTGTCTACTATTTTCCTTATCGTTCATACCCAATGATTTTGAATTAAATGCAGGATGTGTGAAATTTTCAGATGAAATTAAAATTGGCTATATGGTTAATAGTGAGAAAGATAATCAATTGACTGTTCAAATGGGCAGCAGAAGTGGGAAACAGAATTCAATCCACAATGCATGAGGTAATGCATATGGGTAACTATCAGATACTTGTGTTGCCAGAACTGGAGAGTTTTAGCTGCAAAGCAAGGTCGTACGGCTGGGATTGTTTTCTTTGGAATAGAGGAGGCCGAGAGGAGATTTATTTAAGGCTTATAAAATTATGAAGGATTTAAAGTCAATAAAAAGGATCTTCTTCCCAAAGCAAAGTTGTCAATAGTCAGGGATATTAAGTAACTGCTGGAAGGTTAGAGAGGTTTTGAAGAATAAATTTTCACCTAGATGCTGGTCTGGCACTTGAAAGAGCAGAAACCAAAATCTTTATGAATAAAAAATTAAGTGAACACATGAAGTGCTTTAATCTATAGGCTACAGAGCGAGAGTATAAACTGGGGTTAGGCTGGATAGCTCTGCTTTGGTTATTTCAAATACCATGGCCAAAATGGCCTCCTTTTCTACCATATTTTTCCTGACTCTTCCTCTATGGATTTCCCACATTTTCTGAGTTGGAACTCTGGTATCCACTAGTTATGAATTGTTGCTTTAAAGGCAACTTTCTTTAATGACAGAAGAGCTGTCAGCCTGCACGATTGTCATCTTATTCTCCTCTTTCTCCTCCAGTAGTGGTGACAATATCTGCATTTTGCTGTGGTAAATAAAATAGAATAAAGACCATAATTCACTTTCCAACACACTTACCGATAATTCCAACAACCAACTCATTTGTAAAATCATCTCGGCCCACAAGCAAGGAATAGTCAATTATGAGATGACTGGACAGGAAATATGCATCACTGTGAATGGATGCCCGTAGCACAGCTTTACAATGTGATCGAATGTAAAGAGGGTTATCACGAATCATTTTTAATAGGTTTTCATCCAGTAATACAACATCACATGTCTCTTTTCCAGTTTCAGTTTTAACGTTTCGATTCCTTAAAGAACCTTTTAAGTCAAAAACCTGTATAGAAGAAACAATAAATTTAAAGGACTCAAAAAAGGTTTGCATTTAGAAAAAGAAAACAGAAAATCTAAAGAAAATTGTTTAGACTATTGCTACTATTTTTCTAGTTTCACTGGGTTAAAATCCGGAATTCTTTCCCTTATAGCATTGTAGGTATACCTACATCAAATAAATTGCAGCAGTTCAAAAAAGACTGCGCAATATCAGCTAGGGATGGGTAATAAATGCTGATCCAGCCAGTGTGATCTACCTTGCATAAATTTTAAAAAAAGCTTTGGTGATCTTTAGAACGGGTACGATTTTTAAAAAATTTAATCTCAGAATTATGTAGGAACTGATGCACCTTTGATTCAGAATTATTTTATTAGATTTCTCAAGAAACAAATTACTGCTATATAATAGTTGGTATATAATCAGGTCACAATAATTGTTTTTATTTCCCAATTCTTTTATCATTACCCAAGTTACAACATTTTATGGAATAACTTTAATTTAGAAAACAAATATGAATTTAAACCGTTTGCAATTGTCAATACCATGTACCTGAGCCATCTTTCTTCCATAGAAGAGGTTCTCCATAACCAAAAGATCAAGTTTCTTTTCTGTATTATTCTGAGAGTTTTTGTAGCCTATGCGATATACCCCCAGAATTTTGGCCAATGCTGTCGGTCTCTGTATAATAGTTCAGGGAGGAAAACAAAAACACAGAATTTGAACATCCAATTTAAAATAAATAATTTGATACATCAATAGAAGTACATAGGAAATGGCAGGACCAGACCATACAACCTCCTTTGCCATTTGATGAAATCATAAATGATCTTCTACATTAACTCCACATTCCCACTTTATTCCCCAAATCACATGATTCCCTTGCTATCTGAAAAACATTTTGATTTCTGTCTTGAATACTCACAACAAATGAACTACTACAAACTGGTAGTGTGGAGAATTCCAAAGATTCATCAGACTGAGAAGAAATTTCTCCTCATTTCAGTCTGTAGTAGCCAACCCTTTATTCCAAGACAAATTCTACTTTTAAAAGGAGGTTTCTTTCTTGGGGGGGGGGGGGGGGGGGGAAGAAGCCTCTTGGCTTTCAAGCTATCTTAAGGTCTTTTTTTTTGATGGAAAATATTTTCCTTTTACTGAATGCTGAAGAACAAAGCCCAATTTTCCTCAACCTGCTCTCATAGGAAAGCCCCATCATCCCAGCAATCAATTGCACACTGCCAACGCAAGCATATTTTTTCTTCAGTGAAGACCAAACTCAAAAGTATTTTAAGGTAGCCTGGACCCTAAATTTTTCTTATGTTAAAGGAAAAGGTAACGTGCTGTGTTCCAGATGCAACATGACCGGTCAAATTACTCGATATTAAGCAGAACACTATAGTTAAAATAAATTAAAAGAAAGCACTTAGAATAATTTAACTGTATTGCAAAACTTAACAGAATAATAGACACAGTAACTATTAGTAATTAACTGTTCCAATGTAGCAATATCCCATAAACACACCCCTGGGGCAAAAAGGCAAATACGGAAATCAGATTTTCTCACGTAATACTCATAATAGAAAGAAAAACCCCAGATTCTAGCTGTAACCGAGAGAGGGGAAAGAATAGCTTCTACTTCTTCAAAACGCCAGCAGCTTCTGCCCTGTTGAGACTCCAACAGCAACTGCTTAAAGCTAAACCTAAAAACCAAAAAATACCTAGAAATCCTGGTCTGAGAGAGTTGGCCACACCCATTCAGGCTACTTCTATTGTTCCAACTTCTTAAACTAAAACCCAAGGCCTCACAAACTGTTTAAGTTACCACAGACAGCTCGGGTGCCTCTCATTCATTCATTCAATCTCTCTCTTAAAAGAAACCAGGACAAAATATACCTCTTAAAGACACAGCATCGTCACAGAAGAGACTTCGTTGCTCTCCAGTGCAGTATCAGCAAAATGCTATATAATTGCACAAAGACTGTTGTACTCTCGCACACCAACCACCTTTAAATAGGGGCAAACATAGCATTTGCTTTGTCTGCACATTAACTTTGTGATAAAGACAAAAGCAAACAGATACCTCTGCATATTCTCTGCTAGTCTCTTGGTATTTTGAAAAAAAAAAGCTTTTATAATTTTATCAAAATGCATTATTTCACATTTCTTCATATTTACGTTGCATTTTCGGCTCATTGAGTTAAATTCTTCTGCAGCCTCTTTGAGTAATCCTGAGTTTGCTTTTCTACTTAGCTTTTACCATCAGCACCCTGAACTAAGTGTATAGATTGTAAATAGTTGAAATCTAAGCATTATGTTTTGTAACATGCACAAGATCTAAATTATCAACTCACAAGTGACCTCTTTATTCTGACTCTTACTGTTTGTGTTAAGATCTTTCATAAGTTTCATGCAAATAGCTTTTGTTTGTTTTATGTAATAAGCTCATGTTCTTCTGTTACAGAATATTTGGAGACACCAACATGATCAACCACAAAAACAAAATTAAGCTGTGATCTCTCAAGCAAGTTTCATTCTGGGATCTGGCGTTTCCAGGGTTACAATCAATCAGTTGGGATTGTAACATTACTACCCTCAATTCTGCAAGCCCTAATCTTGCAAAACAATCTTTTGCACAGCAGTATATTGAATGTCTTCTGAAACAATGTCCACAGGTTCTCTTTCGTGTACTCTGCTGATTGCACCTACAAAAAACATTACTAGTTTGTCAAACAATTTTTCTTTCAAAAGTGTGCAGACACTATCTAATTATACTATGTTTTTAACCTTCCTTGAGTTTGAAAAAAGTTGTACGACTCAAATGTTTACTGTTTTTCTCTCTACAGCTGTTGTTGGAGCTGCTGGGACTTTTTTTTCTGTTTCTTTATTTGAAAATAACCATTCCTGACCTCAAAGTTAAATCATTGGTCTAAAATTCTTTCATTTCCATATTCTTGAAGTTTAAAACAAAGGGTAGCCCACCATGTGTGCTGCGAGAATTGCAACAGTTTCCCACTATGACTTGCCTTCCAATCGTCCCTCTGCAGGTATGCAAGTGCCTGCATTTATATCTCTTGAAAATAATTGAGGTCAGATGCTTCAGTTTCTGGATTTGTTCCTATGAACTAATATTCAATTACTTCAACATTACTTAGTTTTGAGTTTAGTGCTAAACATTTAGAAGGCCATTATGCAGTGAAACTGTGCATCTGGCATCCACCAAATGAAAAATTAACTACTTTGCAGAGCTGATATCTTAAAGGTTCAATTTTCATAGCAAGCAATCTGGATCAGAATCTTTTCAATGTTACATACAGCACTGATCAACAAACACAAAGATTGGGAATTAGCACAAGATGATAAAACTTAGCATTCTCAAACAAAATGACGACAGAAGAAAAATAAATCCAAGATTTAATTATGAAATTTTCAGAGGTTAACAGTCCACTGATGCTCCGCCACAGTATGATGCACAATACTGATGCCATACTGTAACAAGAAATCAAAGCTTTTAGTAGAAGAAACAGAATTAACATAAAATTGGCAACCTCCATACCCCCCACCCCGAACCTAATTTACCTTTTGCTGAACAGCAGTTGTAATGTAAGTAAAATAATGAGGAGCAAAATCCAAGAAAGACTGGACTTCCAGTCGAGGCATCTGCTTCAGAATAAAGCGGTCATCTAGAAAAGATTATATTTTTATAAATGACAAAAGTCAATGAATACATTGTCAGTATCTGATAATCAAGATAAAATACCTCAGAACTGACACTTTTTTCTTGAAAATAAACAAGATTTCTCAAACTAACATTTCAACTGCATTTTCAAAAAAGTAGGACAGAACAAAAGTGCAGAGTATAGTGATCGCTATTGCCTCGTTTTGCTTCAACATAGTTAATGTGATCTTCTGTTAGGTCTTGTTAAAGTATGATTGAACTGCAAGGCACTGATATGCCTCCTCTCAATGCTGTCACTAGTATGATAAAGGCTCATCAACTTATTTTCTTCAGTATAATTGTTTTTAGTTTGAACTAAGGTGAATTTAAGTGTGTGATGGTAGTTAACAGGAATGAAAGGTCATAATTGTTCAATTCAAAGAAAGTCAACTACCATTTTCAGCACTGCATGTTACACATTATACAGAAGTACCAAAATGGCATTACTGACAAAAGTTTACAATGACTCTTTAAAACCAAGTACACTTCAAAAACAGAAGTTAGCAGAAGCTTCAAAAACTTTATAAACCTTATGAGCATGCATCAGCATAGAAACTCTCAATTAAAGAACACTGGCATCTCAGGTCTTCTTTCGTATGTCATTTCACACATTAATTGGTTTCTAAGTATATTACAAATGTTTTGAATTCCTGTCTCTCTATTCCAACATCTGCAATTATATGACTGCACAGGACATGGCTATTTTTCACCAATTCACAATGCATGCATGTACAATCACTTTGTGATTGTTTAAATACCAAATTTAAAAAAAAAAAAAAAATCAGATGGTACATTCTAGGAACAGGGTCTTTGCCCAACATCCTGACAAACATTCATTCTGCAACCAAATGGTTACTCATCCCTTTTGTGGTTTGTGGGACCCTGCTATAGACACAGTTTCTGTATTTACCTACAAACTAACACCTGAAGAAGGACTGAGGCTCCAAAAGCTTGTGATTTCAAATAAACCTGTTGGACTATAACCCGGTGTCCTGTGATTTCTGACCTTGTCCACCCCAGTCCAACACCGGCACCTACAAATAATAGCAGCTGCTACACATCAAAACAGAGTTAAATTAGAATAGATCATTTTATCCATCCAAAGTATAAGAAAGATACTAGGGAAATGCAACTTATAATTTTACAGATTCAATAGAAATAATACAAATTTAAGCTTGGAAATTTTGTAACTCTTAAAGCTCTCAGTTCATTATTATAGCTTTTACACATTCATTATACATACCAAAGATCCAAATTTATAAGCTTTGTACTCTCCCAGTTTGGTAAAACAGCAATTCCTCAACCATGGAGCCGAAAAGAAACTTGCTACTTTTTTATATTTAATGTTATCTGAAGTGTACTTTTGGGATACAAAGTTTGACATTGAAACTTCGTACAGTGTATCAGTAACTGACTTTCTAATTATTTACATACTATGTTTCAGTAAAAATGTCTTATTGAATCTTCATTCATTTCATTGAACCAACAAATTTTTTTACCTTCTGTAGCATAAAAGGCTGCTCCCGATTTGCCTCCTCGGGCTTGCCATGGCGCACAGTGAGACAGAGATCGGATGAAGTCATCCTCATTACTAGCCAAAATCACTTCTCGCATTTTGTGGAATTCTTCAGCATAATAAATTCTACAGTAAAACTTGGCATTGGCATCGGAAAATTCTATACAAAAATATTTAAAGAAACATTCTTATAAACAAATAAATAATCACCTTGGTCAGTGGAAACTACAGTCCATTTGTTCCTTTCCTTTGTGGCAAAAGATTAATTCATTCACTCATCACTGTGGCTGACATTGCTATCAAGTGGCAATTACACAACCATAATCTGCTCACTGGTGTTCATTTGGATTTCGCCAGGACCACTTGGCTCATTACAACTTTAGTCTGGACATGTAAACAAGAGCCAAATTCAATAAGGGTGGTTAGAGTGACTGTCCTTGACATCAAGGCAGCACTTGTCTGTGCCAGGTCTCCTGGATGGCCCGTAAAATTAGAGTCAATGGGAATCAGGGTAAAACTCTCCACTGACTGGAATTATGCCAAACACAAATGAAGATGGCTGTGGTTATTGGAGATCAATCATTTCAGTCCAAGGACATCTCAGCAGGAGTTCCTCAGGATAGCATCCAAAGACCCAACCATCTTCAAAAACTTCATCAATGGCTTTCCTTTCATAAAGGTCAGAAGTAATATGTTTGCTGATAACTGCACAACGTTCAGTATCATTCACACCTCCCCAGATACTGAAGCAGACTGTCAATATGCAGCACGACCTGAAAAATATCAGTGACCATGTCCAGCAAGAAAGAACTTAACTACTTCCTCCTGATATTCACTGGTATTACTATTGCTGTATCTTCTACTAGCTACCATTGACGAAAAACTGGATTAACTTTATAAATGACTGTAACTACAAGATATGGGGAATTCTATGTGAATAGCCTCAGGGGAATTAATTGCCAATCTATAAGAAATGAATCACATGTGTGATGGAATATTCTCCTCTGGCCTAGATTAGCGAGGTTCCAACACTCAAGGTGGTTGACACTGAAGAAGCACAGTTGTTTGGCAATCCAGTCATTACCCTAAACATTCACTACTAATGCATAGTAGCATCAGTGTGGGCTTGGAACAATACTGCTGTGGGGCACAAATCCTGGAACTCCATTCCCAGCATCACTACGCAATAGAGTGTGTGCAGCAGCTGAAGGCAGCAGCTCATCATCATCTTCCCCAAGGGCGATTAAAATGACACACTGGCGTAGTATTAAGTCACTATACTAGCAATACCATGGCCCAGGCTAACACTGTGGACTGTGGGTTTATATCCCACCGCAGCAGCCGATGGAATTTAAACTCAATTAATAAAATCTGAAAATTGGAAACTCTTTCAGTAATAGTGACAAAGAAATCATCATTGATTGTTGTAAAAATTCATCTAATTCACTAATGTCCTTACCTAGCCTGGTCTACATATGACTCCAGATCCACAGTGACTCTGAACTGCCCCCTGAAAATGGCCTGGCAAACCACTCAGTTCATAAGCAATAAAGGGATGGGAAGCAACACTGGCTGACATTCCATGAAGGAATAAAAACAATTGCTGGAAAGTGATCAGATGCAGGAAGTTCATTCCATTCTTTCTTTTCCTTGCTTTGAGGCATTCAGGGCAAATATATTCCTTATACTGAAGTCAGCTAAATTTGCTGCTAACTTGAAGCATCCTGATTTGTATTCGAGTCAAAATCATGTTGTGCATTAATACAGTTAGTCATTAGAAGTATAAATAAAAAAATGTATCTGACACTGTGAAATAAAGAAACATACTCTATGAAGTTCAAAAGGTGGTCAATAATACTTACGAAGTTCCACGTGTGGGTTTCCAAGTTGCTTCTTTTGTTTGTCTCCATCACCGTCATCTAAAATAAACAACATTGAACCATTTAGGAAATACGAGCTGATGGATTTTAAACTCTTTTTAGCATTTAGCTCACTGTAGCCTGTGTAAAAGTTAGTTTATTCACTTCACCAAAACTTTATAAGAAGAACACAAGGATCTGGATGATATCATTCTTAACTCTCATCTGCATTTACATTATAATAAGACTTTGTCAAATTTCAGATTTGCAACCCTTACTTCCTATATACAATTGTCATTTTAAGGCATACATTGAAGACAATCTGAAGCTGCAAACAATTTGTTGGTCAGATCAAGCAAACAAACTTAATATAAATGGGTTCATGTTAGTGATGTATTGAAGATTTTAAAAACACATTTCTATGTTCTAAATTTGATTCAATATACTAGATCAAGGTAATCTGATTCCGATGAACAGCATCGGTATCTTGGTTACCGCAGTAAATGTAACTGCAAAATTATAAAGCAATAATAATCAAATTAAAAGTAACTCATCATAGCTGCAAATCCAAAATCAGTAATTAGCCAAGATCATACCCAGGTTTTTCTTCATCCAGCAAACAGTATATTCTATTCAACTCAATGAGAAAATTACACTCACCATAAACTTTAGAACTGTGAGACCTATTAAAAACTGATTAACTTTTACTAGAAATATTGCTGACACACTCAAAAGCTTTATTGAATTTAGATTTTTACACATTGTAATTAGAGCTTAAACATGTATATAACCCTGGAAAAACAATACTTTCTTCCAAGAAAATTATCTTTTTTGCTGCTTCAGTCTTAATAATTGGCAAGACTGTTTGGTTTCCTTGTCTAGTGGCAGAAGCCAATTAGTCAGGCTGT